CCGGCCGCCTGCCGCCGCTCTGCTGCGGCCTCGTCCTGCCCCGCCGGCCTCCCCCCTTGTGGGCCTGTCGTGTGCCTCTCCCATGGGGCTCAGGACACCCAGGCTTCAGGAGGAGGAGGAAGGGGAGGAGGAGGAGGAAGAGGAGGAGGAGACAGTTCGAAGGGCTGCTACTTTAGTGGATGCTTCGTCCAGTGCGGCTGCCCTCCCGCCCCGCGCCCCGCGCAGCCTGGCGACACCGCTACCACGCGTACCAGAGGACAAAGGAAAGAGCTCCGCGGCAACGGAGAGCAGCCTGAGCCTCCAAGGAGTCTCGAGGCACAGCTGCTGCCGCGGCGTTGGGGGCCCTGATGAGCGCACGCTACCCCAAGCTCGCAGGAGTGGCCTACGAGATGTTTCACCTGGAGGCATGATCATGTGGCACTGAAACTTAAATTACTCCTGCTGGTCACCTCCTCCCTCCTCCCTCCAGGAAGACGAGAGGGGGGATAGCAAAGGAGGAGTCAGCGAATCAGCTGCTGCATGCAGCTGGTTTTCCCGACGCCTCCTGGCGTGGGAGGCGACCATGCACCGAGGATGAATGCCAAACGGCGGGGCCAAAAGCAGCTGCATGCAGCAAAGCTCGTAACCCGCTGATCCCACACCCTCCTTTCGGAGGTCATCTCCTGAGGGCTCCAAAGGTTCCCAGAGGCCCTCAGAGGAGGCCTCCCTCGAGGCTCAAGGGACCCCCCCCCAAAAAAAAACTAGCCTGGCGAAGGACCCAACCAATATGCAGCTGTAAGTACCGCAGTCGCGACTATCATGTTCGATGGGTCTCCCTACGGGGCCACGATCCTCGTGAGGGGTGCGCCGAACTGGGGCGAGGCCGCCATGCGAACTTTCCCACTGGGGCCTTCGGTGGAGCCCTATGGGGCCACGATCCTCGTGAGGGGTGCGCCGAACTGGAGCGAGGCCACCATGCGAACTTTCCCACTGAGGCCTTCGGTGGAGCTCCCCATGGGGCCACGATCCTCGCGAGGGGTGCGCCAAACTGGGGCGAGGCCGCCATGCGAACTTTCCCTCTGGGCCCGTCGGTGGAGCTCCCCGTGCACCGAACTGGGGCGAGGCCGCCATGCGAATTCCCCACTGGGACCTTCGGTGGAGCTCCCTGTGGGGCCACGATCCTCGTGAGGGGTGCGCCGAACTGGGGCGAGGCCGCCATGCGAATTCCCCACTGGGGCCTTCGGTGGAGCTCCCTGTGGGGCCACGATCCTCGTGAGGGGTGCGCCGAACTGGGGCGAGGCCGCCATGCGAACTTCCCCACTGGGGCCTTCGGTGGAGCTCACCATGGGGCCACGATCCTCGTGAGGGGTGCGCCGAACTGGGGCGAGGCCGCCATGCGAACTTTCCCACTTGGGCCTTCGGTGGAGCTCCCTATGGGGCCACGATCCTCGTGAGAGGTGCGCCGAACTGGGGCGAGGCCGCCATGGAAACTTTCCCACTGGGGCCTCCGGTGGAGCTCCCCATGGGGCCACGATCCTCGTGAGGGGTGCGCCGAACTGGGGCGAGGCCGCCATGCGAACTTTCCCACTGGGGCCTTCGGTGGAGCTCCCTATTGGGCGTGAGGGGCGCGCCGAACTGGGGCGAGGCCGCCATGTGAATTCCCCACTGGGGCCTTCGGTGGAGCTCCCTGTGGGGCCACGATCCTCGTGAGGGGTGCGCCGAACTAGGGCAAGGCCGCCATGCGAACTTCCCCACTGGGGCCTTCGGTGGAGCTCCCTGTGGGGCCACGATCCTCGTGAGGGGTGCGCCGAACTAGGGCAAGGCCGCCATGCGAACTTCCCCACTGGGGCCTTCGGTGGAGCTCCCTATGGGGCCACGATCCTCGTGAGGGGTGCGCCGAACTAGGGCAAGGGCGCCATGCGAACTTCCCCACTGGGGCCTTCGGTGGAGCTCCCTGTGGGGCCACGAAACGTGTGAAGGATATGCCGAAATGGGTGCGGTGCGGGGGAGGAGGGAGGATGGGGAGGTGGAGTGAGTGAGTGGGACGCGGGGCGCTCTCTTCAAAACTATGACCCAACACCACAGGATGGTTGGGAAAAAAGGATGGTTGGGAAAAAAGCTGTCTTCGAAAATGGGCCCTCGATTATCAGTCATCGGTTGTCGATCCCCGTTTGCGTCCTCCACGCTTTCGTCCACCCACCTCCCCTCTTCCTGCCGGTGCTTCTGGCGCCTCCGCCGCTCCCACCTCCTCCTCCGGAGGAGGGAGGAGCACGAGCAGGAGGGGAGAGAGGGGGAAGAAGAGAGGAGGGGACAGGGAAGAGTCGAGGAGAGAAGAGGAGGAGGAGGACGAGGAGGAGGAGGACGAGGAGGAGGAGGACGTGGAGGACGAGGACAAGGAGGACGAGGAGAAGGAGGAGGAGGAGAAATGAGTTGGAGGAGGAGAGGAGGCAGATCTGTAGGATGTAGGAGGACTCTGGTGCAGGAGAGAAAAAAGAGAATGAGAAGGAGAAGGAAAAGGAGAAGGGGAAGAAGAAAGAGAGAGAAGAGGGGAGGACCAGGAAAAACAGCAGCAGGAAGAGGAGGATTAGGAGGGAGGGCTCTCCCACCCGAAAGCGCCGATCGCCGACCATCCCCTCCTGCTACCACCCCGCGGAGGAGCGCCTTCGTGCTGCGGCGCCGGAGCCTGAGAGGGGGGGGTCCTCCGCTCCGACGGTCACGAGCGGCGACCGTCTCCACATTCCGGGCCTCGATACCGTGGAAACGCGACCGATCTGGATTCCGAGCCTCGATCCCACGCTCTCGCGACCTGGATTCCCGGCCTCGATCCCGTGGATGCGCGGTCGCGTGGGTGCGTTCCGCGCGCAGCGTCCGCGGGGTCGCGGCCCAGGGGCCCGGCCCTTGGGGCCGTGGCACATGTCCGGAGGAAAAGACCCTGGAGGCCTCACGCGGCAGCTTAGGACCCAGCTTACGTCGCTTACACGTCGCATGCGCGTCGGATGCACGGTCGAATTCACGTGGGGTTCACGTCGGTCTTGCGTCGGAGCATCGCCGCACGAACGTGGTCCCACATCTGACGGGGCGGACGTAGGGTTAGGTCGGGCGTGTCCCCCTACATGGGGATTTTCGATGAAAAATAGAACATACTCAGAAAATACTCCCAAATAGCAAAAAAAAAAATCAAAAAACAGTCCCCCGACGTTTTTTTGACTATGCTTGAGTATTCCCCTCTGTAGAGGGACAGGCCCGACTTAAACGTAGGGACTGGATAATACAACTGCTGCGCGCCGCGCGAGGCCTCCGGGCTCCTCACCGGCTGTGGACACGCTTAATCCCGCGCACGAGGCCCGGGCCCTCCGCGCCGAGGGGCCCCAGCCAATGGGATCCTGCAAGGTCGCCCGGAGTGGGGCTGTGCGCGAGCACGAGCCTTGCGTTCGCGAGGCCCTCAGATCCGGGCGTCGCAGAAACATCGCGACGGACACTTTTCCCTCAAGCGTCCCATCCTCCACGGGGGGAAGGGGCAATCGTCCCCGTCCTGCAAAAATACAGTCGTCGGGTCGGGAATCAGGAGACCGGCCACCCCTGCCGACGTCGCCCATCGCGACGGACACTTGATTACGTTCTCGAAGATCGGGAGTTGCCAGAGGTATCCCCGGCCCAAGGTATCCCCAGGATTCCCAGGGAGGCCCGGCCTCCAGAGCACGCCTCAAGAGGCCCAGAGGGCCCGGGGGCTCTGAGATGGCGCGAAGAACTGGGGGCACCCTGGGCCAGGACCACTGCTGGCAAGACCCGGAAAGAAGAGAGGCCGTGCTCCTCGCCCTGGGCCCGTCAGACAAGGGATGAGCAAGCAGTCCAGGGGCTGGGGTCAGAACCTCTGAGGCCCACGTCGCAGAACGAGCAACACGTCGGGGCCCAGGCTCCCAAAGGTAGTCGGGTGAAGCAGAAGCGGAACCCGGCACCACCAGCAAGGCAGAAGACCAACCGATGCCTCCCCGAGATGAAGATTGAAGGATTGTCGAGCAACGCGCCGAAAACCAGCGGCACGGTGGATGGACAAAATCCTGCACCACAGGGCTCAAGTTAGCAGAGTTGCTCGTTTTAGTGCTGTTGTCTTTTTCCTTCGTTATGTCTTCTTTCTGCCTTTGCTACGCAAGCGAAATCAAAACGAAAACGTTCCACGAAATCGCCAAAACACCGATTAGCTCGAGCACTGCTGCACCACCCGCGCGACCAGGGTGCCAGCGCGAACTTCACGCCACCCCTCATGCCCCCGATTGCCGGGTGTGAAAAGGCGTGTCCCTCCCCCTTTCCCCCTCGCCAGGCTCTCTGGAATCTCCAGAGAGCCCCAAGGCAGCCCAAGGGGGCACAAACAGAGTACTGAAACAATCCAAGCGAGCGTCGAGACGGCACAGTGTAACCCGCGACGGTCCAACATGGCTTCAAGACAGCCCGCGAAGGAAGACTCAAGAGTGCCTCCGGAGGGCCACAAAACGCAAAACTCGTGCCTTTCCTTTAGACATATGCGCATCTTCTTCTCGTCATGGTAGCGTCCAAAACGGCCCGACGGGGCCCCAAGATCTTCCCGAGACGGCCAAAGAGGCCCCGACACGGCCCGAAGACGGCCAATACAGCCAAGAGGGTTCCAAGACGGCCCCAAGGGGCCACTAAGACGGTCCACGAGGGCTCAAGAACGGCCCAAGAGGGGCGGCAAAACGAACTGACATCTCGAGCTGTCCCCCCCCCCCGAAGGCCCAAAAACCTCCCGAGCGACCCCCGAGGCGCCACCAAGAGGCGCCCAAGAGGCCTCCAAGAGTCCCCCAAAAGGCTCCCAATGGGCACCCGAGAGGCAGCAAAAAGGCTAAACAGATCCCCAACAAAGCCGCTAAACCCTCTAGACCCCTGAGACATGAACCGTCGCGGGCGCGACAAGAAAAACCCGCCATTCAACTCCAAGATAGCGACGTTTACACTTTGCTAAAGGTCGGCAGTATGGCGGGAGCCACTTGTACCGACACACACACACACACTCCCATGTGGGAGCACGAGCCACTCCCCGCGCGGCAGGACTCCTCTGAAGAACCCCCCTGTGGTGCTACGTTGCAAGGACGTCTCAGGCGAGAGCACCCTTCCTGACGTTCGGGCCCGCTCTGGCCAGGGACCCCCGGAGTGAATCGCGAGGCCGGACCGCACGGGAGCGCTGTTGTTGGGGGCCGATTTGACCGGAACCTCGAAACGCTTGAGCGCGAGCCTCAATTTCAAAGGAGACGCAGCTGGCGCCGAAGCGAGAGCGCAAAAATGGATATAGGGGGTCCAACAATTACTCGACGCGGAGCAGATGAACATCTCATAACTGCTGCAACGTCTCGCTGAGAAGCTCGGTCTGTGAGAATATGGGTGTGAGAACGAAACCGCGTAAACCACAAACACGAAAACGACGACGACAGCGACGACTTCAGTGATCTCTTCTGGGCATCTTTCAGGAGAGACGAAGGAAACACAAGTGAAAGAGCCAGGGGGAATTCCTCTTACCACCCTGACTGCGGCGACTCAGGCAAACGCGCATGGCGTTGCTACGCCCGCTCTCTGGCGTGCCACTCGCGGTGCATGCTGGTCTTTGGGGTGCTTAAATTCCACGCCGTCTATATCGCAATGGCCACCTGCGCGTGAGCTGTAGTGCGAGCGAACATGAATGTGAATGGTCTCAGTGTGAGTGAGTCGGAGTGCGAGCCAATCTGGGCACGATTGAGTCTGAGTGCGAGCGGGTCTGAGTGCGAGTGGGTCTGAGCGCGAGTGAGTCTGGGTGTGAAAGTCTGACTGTGAGTATGGTGACTACGAATAAGGATATGAGCGAGTCTGGGTACGAGGTAGTCTGAGTGTGAGCGAGTCTGACAGTGGGCGAGTCTTACCCTGAATGATCCAGACTGTGAAATAGTCTGGGCAATAGTGAGTCTCAGCGCGTGTGAGTATGAGTATTGGTGAGGGAGTCTCAGTATGAGGGAGTCTCAGTATGAATGAGTCTGCTGTGATGAGCCAATCTGACTGAGAAAGAATGCTGATGAGCAGGCCTGATAATGAATGAGTGCGTCACTCTGGGTGAGGACAGGGAGCAGGCAACGGAGATGGGTGAAAGAGTGAGCACGGCGTCCACAAATCCAAAGAGAAGTCTGGGGGGAAGAAACGGGCAAACCGCCTGACACATCCCCACAATCTGGGCGCGAATCCTGGAGTGTCCCCACCCCATTGCGGCTCCCCCTTTGGGTGCCTAAGTGCCACGCCAGCTATATCGCAGTAAGCAGTGGGCCAGACACAAGTCTGGGGGACAGAAACAAGCAAACCGCCTCAGACATCCCCAACAATCTGGGCGCGAACGGGCGAGTCTCATACCGACTGGCCTCTCCCCCCTTGGGGTGCTCAAGTGTCAAGCCTGCTATATCGCTGTGGGGGTGGTGGAAAAAGGCAAACCGCCAGAAACGTCCCCACAATCTGGGCGCATTCGGGCGAGTGTCATCACCCCTGCTGGCTCCTCCTTGGGGTGCGTAAGAGTCACGCCAGCTATCTCGCCGTGAGCAGTGGACCACCCGAAGACACAAGTCTGTGGAAGGCAAACGCAGGCAAACCGCCTGAGACACCCCAACAATCTGTGAGCGAACGGGCGCCGGCGAGTGTAATCATGTGGGGTGCCTAAAAGCCACACCTGCAATTTCGCCGTGAGCAATGGACCACCAAAAGACACAAGACCGGGGGGCAGAAATGAGCAAACTGCCTGAGACATTCCCACAACCCGGGCGCGAACGGGCGAGGGACGATTCCCTCATTGAGGTGCCCAAGTGCCACGCCTGCTACATCGCGGTGAGTAATGGACCACCAAGGGACACATGTGGGGTGGGGGGGGCAGAAGCAGACAAACCACCTATCTTGGAGCCAACAAGAGAGTGTCAGACTCCCTGGCGGTCCCCCTTGGAGTGCCTGGATGCCACCACTTATATATCGCGGTGAGCAACACACAACTAGAAAAGCCTGAGTGAATAAGATGAGGAAGAGTGTCGGAGTGATAGTCTGAATGCGTATGAAAGAGGAGGAGGAGAAAGATGAGGAGGAGGAGGAGGAGGAAGAGGAGGAGAGGGAAGATGAAGGTCCGGAGGCGTTGAAATAATGATGATACCAGAGAAAAGCCCAATCATTTGAGGGAGTTTCTGTGGAACTCACGTCATCCTCACCCCCGGCGCGAAGAGCACGAGCCTAGAGCTGCCTCCGGCACCGTTTCCGGACGGATCCGCTGGATCCGCTGGATCCGGTGACGAATCCCAAACCGGCGCCCTCGCCTGAGACATCCTCACAAAACGGGCCCCGGGGGGGATGCCCATGCAGAGGAGCCCAGAGCGGCCTCCGGCACCGTTTCCGGACGGATCCGCTGGATCCGCTGGATCCGGTGACGAATCCCAAACCGGCGCCCTCGCCTGAGACATCCTCACAAAACGGGCCCCGGGGGGGATGCCCAGAGGAGCCCAGAGCGGCCTCCGGCACCGTTTCCGGACGGATCCGCTGGATCCGCTGGATCCGGTGACGAATCCCAAACCGGCGCCCTCGCCTGAGACATCCTCACAAAACGGGCCCCGGGGGGGATGCCCAGAGGAGCCCAGAGCGGCCTCCGGCACTGTTTCCCGGACGGATCCGCTGGATCCGCTGGATCCGGTGACGAATCCCAAACCGGCGCCCTCGCCTGAGACATCCTCACAAAACGGGCCCCGGGGGGGATGCCCAGAGGAGCCCAGAGCGGCCTCCGGCACCGTTTCCGGACGGATCCGCTGGATCCGCTGGATCCGGTGACGAATCCCAAACCGGCGCCCTCGCCTGAGACATCCTCACAAAACGGGCCCCGGGGGGGATGCCCAGAGGAGCCCAGAGCGGCCTCCGGCACCGTTTCCGGACGGATCCGCTGGATCCGCTGGATCCGGTGACGAATCCCAAACCGGCGCCCTCGCCTGAGACATCCTCACAAAACGGGCCCCGGGGGGGATGCCCAGAGGAGCCCAGAGCGGCCTCCGGCACCGTTTCCGGACGGATCCGCTGGATCCGCTGGATCCGGTGACGAATCCCAAACCGGCGCCCTCGCCTGAGACATCCTCACAAAACGGGCCCCGGGGGGGATGCCCAGAGGAGCCCAGAGCGGCCTCCGGCACCGTTTCCGGACGGATCCGCTGGATCCGCTGGATCCGCTGGATCCGGTGACGAATCCCAAACCGGCGCCCTCGCCTGAGACATCCTCACAAAACGGGCCCCGGGGGGGATGCCCAGAGGAGCCCAGAGCGGCCTCCGGCACCGTTTCCGGACGGATCCGCTGGATCCGCTGGATCCGGTGACGAATCCCAAACCGGCGCCCTCGCCTGAGACATCCTCACAAAACGGGCCCCGGGGGGGATGCCCAGAGGAGCCCAGAGCGGCCTCCGGCACCGTTTCCGGACGGACGACCTGACTGCATAACACGCCTGGATATGCCGACGGGGGCGAGGAGGAGGAGGAGGAGGAGGAGGAGGAGGAGGAGGAGGAGGAGGGGGAGGGGGCAGGCGAGGGAGCCCCGGCCCTGGGGGAGGGGCCCTGAGGGAGCCCTGATGGGCTTCCGGCACCATGGAGAGGTCCTGTGGGGCGGCCGCCCCTTCTTCTCTCGGTCGTTTCCCTCTCGCCCAGAAGGGCGCGCCCCTTCTTCTATATATATATATATATATATATATATATATACAGAAACTCCCGATCAACCGCAGAGCGGCGGATGTTCATAATCTTTTTAGGGCTGTAGGGCTGTAGGGCTACAGGGCTATATGGGCTCTTGGGCACTCTATGGGCCATTGGGCTATATGGCTACATGGTCTGTAGGGCTGTAGGGCTATAGGGCTATTTGGCTATAGGGCTATAGGGCACCCCCGGGCACCCGGGCACCCCTGGGCACGCCCGGGCACCCAGGCACCCGGGCACCCGGGCACCCGGGCACCCCCGGGCACCCCCGGGCGTGCGGCCAAAATCGGCGGCAAACCTAACCTAACCATATGACCTATAGGACCCCTACAGAGGCAAGCTCTGATTGGGGAACAAGAACCCCAAATTCGCCGGCCCAACGGGCCAGAGGCGTGCTAAGATCTCCTGTGACTGGTGAAAAAATAATTCTAGTTCGCGCGCGCGGGGCGGCCCCTGATGGGGGTCCCCCGGCGAAAAGTACCCCGACCGCCGCCCGACCGCAGCCCGGCAACTGCTACTCAGAGATGGTTTTCCTCCTGGGTGCGGCCAGAGCCGCCAGAGCGCGCCAGAGATGGTTTTCCTCCTGGGTTTCCTCCTGGAGGCCCCTCAGAGCGCGCCAAGAGGGCCTCAAGAGGCCTCCAAGACAGCCCAACAGCGCACCGAGTCACCGAACGAGCGGTCCAAGACGCCCAATATGGCCTTCATACGGCCCTCGAGGCCGCCGAGAAGCCCCAAGAGAGCCTCAGGTGGCTCTCCAAGAGGGCTCCAAAAAGCAAAAAACGTACATTTGTCGCATATACGACGTCTGGGGTTCACAGCGTCCAAACGTGCCCAAGAGGCCCCCAAGATCGCCCCAAGCCGACCCAACAAGCCACCAAGATAAGCCCAAGAGGGCCCCAAGACAGTCCCAGAGACCTCCAAGATGGCCCAAGACGCCTCCAAGACGGCTCTAAAAGCGAGCCCAGCCGGGCACCCGAACGGACATTTCGAGCTTTTGGCCGGGAGAGGTCCACAGGAGGCTCCAAGAGGCCGCCAACACGCCTTCAAGAGGCCCACGGAGGCCTCCAAAAGGCCCTCTAGAGGCCCCAAGAGGCCTCCTAAGAAGCTTCGAAGAGGCTCCCAAGAGGCCCCACGGAGGCACCTCCACGACCAAGTTTGGCCCCACAATGCTTCAAGAAGCCATCGAGAGGCCTCCTCATCATGCTCATCCACCTTCCTCCTCCTCATTCTCGCAATATGGGCCGGCGGAATGAGCGAAGCGATTACATAATAACAAGAACCCCATCTTGGGATATGGGGAATAATACGCGTGTCATGATTCACACTCAACGAAACAGAGAGACACCTCAGGACTTCTTCCCTTTCCGAGGCCTGCCGCGACGACAGCACAGCCGAAAGCCGACCGAACCGACAGCGAAACCGAGACCGAGACACAAACCGATGGGCCGCAGGCGGCCGAACAGGGCGCCACGATGCAGCAGCGCCACGACAGCCGATCGAACGCAACCGACTGCGACGCAGCCGAACTGACCGAACCGCGGGCGCCCGCTTAGAGGAACAAGCAACTGCATAAACACTGCCGTTCGAAGGTCCGCGCGGAACTCGTGGATCGGCGCTGGACCGCCCTCCCTGGCGCGCGAAGCGCGCCAGAGCGGCACCGGAGGCGCCGCCAGGTCGGCCTAGCGTCGATCCAAGAAACCCGCGCGAACCTCCGAGATTATGCATACGCCGCTGATTCACAATATCGTGAGTATGGGGCACTTGCTATCACTGGAACGCCTCCGCATCCACTCTCACTCCCGCATCCGTCTCGTGCTCATCACACTCAGATTGCTCATACCAAGATTCACTCACACTCAGACCACTCACACTCAGATACACTGATACTCAGACTCTCTCTCTCTCACACTCAGGTCCACTGATACTTCAACAACTTGCTCATACTCACACTCACTCCTACACAAACCACTCCAACTCAGATCCACCCATACCGAGCCAAGACATACTCAGCCTCATTCCGACATCACACTCACATTCACACTGCGACTCCTCCAACATAGCAGGAATGGCACTCGGGCACCCTAGGGCCTAGGGGAGGCCTTCAGGGGGTATGCAAGTCGCCCGTTCGCACCGAGATTGTGAGGATGTCTCAGGCGGTTTGCTCGTTTGGCCCCCCGAGATCCCTCCTTTTGAGAGCCCAGGATCACCGCGACACTGCGGCGTGGCACTTGGGAACACCAAGGAGGGACCGCCGGGAGGTTATGACAGTCGCCCGTTCGCGCCCATCTTGTGGGGATATCTCAGGCGGTTTGCTCGCTTGCCCCCCCGAGACCCTCTCTCTCTTGAACGCCCCCAGGATCACCGCCACATGGCGGCGTGGCACTTGGGCACCCCAAGGAAGGGACCGCCAGGGGATATGACGCCCGCCCGCTCGCTCCCAGATTGAGGGGATGTCTTCTGCGGTTTGCTCTTTTGAGCCCCACGGCGGCCCCCAGGCACCCACCATACGCACACGGCCCGATGACAGCCCAAGAGAGCCCCGAGACGGACTCAGAGGGCCCCAAAATGGCCCAAGAGGGCCCCAAGATACCCCCAAGACTGCCTCACAGATGACCAAAACAGCCCCCAGACAACCCAAACGGACTCCATGAGAGCTCCCCATAGAGTGAGCACGAATGGCGTCACATGCGACGGCCTTCATTCCTCGTCCTCCTCATCCTCCTCCTACTACTACTACTCATCCCTCCTCCTCCTCCTCCTCCTCCTCCTTCTCCTTCACCACTTGCTCCTCCTCCTTCTCCTGCTCCACCTCGTCCTGCTCATCACCATCAACACCATTATAACCATCACCACAACCACCACCTACATCATCATCATCATCATCATCATCATCATCATCATCTTCATCATCATCATCATCATCATCATCATCATCATCATCATCATCATCATCATCATCATCATCATCATCATCATCATGTTCATAATCATTGTCAGCATCATCCGCAACATCAGCAACATCATCGTCATCGTCATCGTCATCGTCATCGTCATCGTCATCGTCGTCCTCATCATCACCACCACCATCATCAGCATCAGCATCAGCATCATCATAATCGTTATCAGCATCACCACCATCACCACCACCACCATCATCATCAGCATCATCAGCAGCATCATCATCAGCATCATCATCACAACGACCACCACCATCACCATCAGCGCCATCACCACCACCACCACAACCACAACCATGAGCATCATCATCACCACCATCAGCATCATCACCACCGCCACCACCATCACCATCAGCATCTCACGGCTCTCCCAAGCCTGGAGACACGAGATGCCACACGCGACGGCCTCTGGTGTCCCCCCTCGGACGGCCGTCACCCAGCGTGCTTGGCTGGCACGGCGGCGGACCTTGCAGCGGGCAGCCCGGCGCATTCTTTGTCGACCGTCACGACCCTCCGCTTGCCCCTCGGGCCCCCCCCGGCGGCCAGGGAGCCCACAAAAGAAGCACGAGCCCAACCACGTGCACGAATGCGGCCCCCCCGGTCCGCGAAACCAGCCTCGCTTCACAGACGCTCGCGCAATGCGCACCTTCGACCTTCGAAACCAGCGTGGATCCATGCACGCGCACGTCCTCCTTTCGCTCCGGACCCTCCTCCCCAGGGCACGCCGGCCGCCTCGCCGGCAGGCGCGCCCGCGGCCGCCGCCACAGGCGGGGCGCACGCCCGGCCGTGGAGCACGGCGGCGCGCAGGTGCCGCTGGAGCAGCTGCAGCTGCGCTGCCTGCGCGGGGGGGCGCGGAGGTCGACGACCTTCAGAACGCAGGATCCAGCGGCATCGGATGGGCCAAATCGGATCGAATCGAAATGAGAAATGTGCAACGGATCGGGCCGCATCGGCACGGAGTCGGAATCGGATCGGATCGGCTGCGCCAGGATGCGCAGCAGCGCCCTGCAAGCATCGGGCCGCATCAGATCGTCGGAGTATCGGAATTCAATCGGATCGGGCCAGACGGAATCCATACCGAATCGGATCGATCAGATCGAAATGGACCCTGCGTGTTTGCCAACCGATGCCCCTCAACACGGCGCAGGCTGCGCAACTGATGCCAGCACAGGCCTCGTGCCACATGCGAACCGACCTGGGTCAACACACCTTGCTTGGCCCAGCACACGTCCCGAGGATGCCCAGGACTTCCTGACGACTCCTCTACCACTGCATCCTGCGCGCTCAGCGGCGGACTCTCCCCTTCTGTTGCCTCGAGGCGCCGCCTACAGCGGAGCGGAGCCCCCGCCAGTTCGAGGCAGCTTCCTCGCGCGAGGCACGCGGGGAGGCGACCGAGGAGGACGAGGAGGAGGACGAGGCGGAGGACGAGGAGGAGGACGAGGAGGAGGAAGAGGAGGAGGAGGAGGAGGAGGAGGAGGAGGAGGAGGAGGAGGAGGAGGAGGAGGAGGGAGGAGGAGGAGGGGGGGGAAGGAGTAGGAAGGGCGCGAGGAGGAGGACGAGGACGAGGAGGAGGAGGGACAAGACGAGGAGGAGGAGAAGATGGAGGAGGAGGAGAGAGGAGGGAGGAGGAGGAGGGGGAGGAGGACGAGGAGGAGGAGGAGGAGGAGGAGGGGGGAGGAGAAGGAGGAGGAGGAGGAAAAGGAAGAGGAGGAGCAGCGGGAGGAGGAGGGGAAGGCAAGGCAAGGCAAGGCAGCTCCTGGAAGTCTACTCCATAACACCAGCCGTGCTACTAGAAGACTTCTGAGCGTCGTCTTCGCGACAATCAGTCTCGATATGGAACCGCTCCTGAGCCCGAGTGGCCCCTCGAGCGGGCGCTCGCGCTGCCCCTCAAGGGCGATCCGCCGTTTAGGCGCGCAGCCCTGGCGGGTACCCTCTGGGGACCAGCGCTCACGATGCAGCCTCCGATCCTCAGCATTGGTTGCGGCTGGGCCGGTAGAGGTGATGGCACATAAAAGCTACTAGAACCAGGATGGTTTGAGCGAGCGCCTGGCGGGATATTTTGGCCAAGCTGCCCCTCAAGGGCCGCTCACGATGCAGCCTCCGATCCTCAGCAGTGGTTGCGGCTGAGCCGGTGGAGGTGATGGCACATAAAAGCTACCAGAACCAGGAGCGAGCGCCTGGCGGGATATTTTGGCCAAGCCTCCGCTCGGACATTTGGAGCAAGCGTTTACTATCCACCACCCGAAGCCTCCCCACCCCCCGTCCCACTATCAGCAGCAGGGCCATTACCCTGTCCTCGCCAGCGAGCCGTGCCGCGGGCAAATCCTCCACCTCTGCCTCTCTCGTCAGCAGGCGGAGCAGAACTCTGTCTGCTCTGTTTCCCCCTACCCTTCGGGCGAGCAGGAGCAAGATGGACAATAGGGACACTAGGCAGAGAGGGAGAAGCGTAAGATTGAAGATGATTGGGCTGCATCACACTAGCAGGCAGCACTCCACTGCGCACGAGCTCAGCTAGCCTACTGCTTCCAGTCCTCCAATCTGCTACTTCTGCATTTCGCCCACGAGCTTGCTGACCTCTCTCTCCAATGGCCCCCGTGGAGCGGGGCCTGTGATGCGCGTCGCGTTCCGCTTCGTCATGAGCCACTGCAGCACGGCCGTCCACATGTCGCCGAGCACCTGGTTGTTCAGAGCCAGCGCGGTGTGCAAGATGCCCTCGGCCTTCACCGCGTCCTTCCTGGCCTTCTTGCACCGAAAGTGAAGGACGTGTTCCCCCATCTTCATGGGAGTGCTGTCTTTCACGTGGGCCAGCCAGTAGTTCTTCACCGCCGAGAAGATCTTGGAGTCCGCCTCTGCTGCGCCCTCCTTCGTCATCTCCATGATGTGGCTGATGAGAGTCACGAAGATCGTGATGTACGGGGGCCCGCGATCCTTGAAGTCCACCTGCTCTCCGTTTTGTTGTTTTTTTCGCAGCTCGCTTGAGACCGAGTTGTAGTCTTCGCCCGCCTGCTTGAGAATGGCCCCGACCGAGTCCACAGCCTCTTCTGGCACCACGTAGCTTTGATAAGTTGCGCACTCCAGCGCCGCGATCTGGCGGGCCCCCGTCAGCACCAACTTCGCCAAGAGCACGATGAGAACCTTGAAGTCGTCCTTGACGCCCTTGACCTTCCCGCCGCCCTTGGAGCCCTCGCCCTTCTCGCCTGCTTTGCCGAACTTCGCCGCCGATTGCGGGCCCTCCGACGGACGCTTCAGCCAACTGGGCATGCCCTCGTCCGCCATCTGCTTGACCTCGCAGCCCACGGGTGCGGCAATCAGCAGCTCGAAGATATGTAGCTGGTGAGAACTTCTGAACTCGCCACGGAAGGTGAGCCGAGATATGGCTACAGTAGTCGACGTAGGATGCCCCTTCGAATGAACACAACTTGCAAGCAAAATCTGACGGCGCAATCAAATGTGTGATCGACCTGGGCTCCCATTTTCCACAATACCCCCGTTGAGTAGCAGCCTGAAGATGCCGTGCTGCTGTCGTGCGGGATTTGAATATCTTTCTGCATATGGGGCAGTGGTTAGTCTTGATTAGTACGTGGCTAAGGTTACGGACACGATGTCGATGACGCATGTGCTCCATGAGACCCTTCTGTGACGCAAAGGCCTGTGTGCAATGCTTCCCGTCCTCTACCACCGTGCAACGATAAGGGAGCTCCAGATCCTGAAACGCGTCCTGCATCTCACATTCCCCCTGGGGCGGGTCGAGGCCAGGCGGAGGGATCATGTAGGTCTGCGAGTAGTTGCGAACACGGCGAAAATCGATACGTGCAAAATCTCGTCGGACCTCCTCCTCCTCCAACAATAACCATGGTAACTGAACGATGCGGGTTAGTAATTCTTCCTCATCGGGGCATGCCGGTATAGCAGCCTCGATGTCGGTCCGAACTCTCTGGGCCCACGGAGTGGCAAACGCTGTCAGACCGTCGACGCGATGGCAAGGCCAGCCGTCATCGGGTTCGAATGGCAATCCAGCAAAGAGCGCAACCAGCACCTGTATATGTTCCTCCTGGTAGGTGGCCCAGCTTCGATACCAGGCTAATCTTCTAGTCGCAAGCTCGATCTTACAATTAGATATACCCCAATATTCTAAAACCTGTAATGTGGATAATGAACGCTTAGCACCATCTTCGTTCTCAGCGCATGCAAGGCCCTGCATCGCCATGCGACCCAGACGAGCAAGGTGATGATCCATCACAGTCAACTGCTTGTCGCTAAGAATGAAAGGCTCCATGCCCGTCAGCAACGAGCCCTGCACCAGGCCTATGAAGATTGTCCTCTTCCACTTCTTAGGGGTAGAAAGTGCCCAGAACGAGCCCATGCTATAGTAAGCCGAAGTTGCCGCCGCCACTCTACGTTCTACTTCAGGGGCGCTCTGTTGAGTAGGAGTTAGTACTGGTCCTAAGTATCTGACAACGTCCGAAACGATCCCGTCCAATCGCTTTTTGTTGATCCCCTCCTCCCTGATGTACTTCTTACACTGAACCGCTCCTTCTCCTCCGATGTAAAAACTTGTAACCTGCTTGCCTCTATTTTGTACATACCCCGCGGTGCTCAAGGCTCTGTCCAGGAGGGCGTCCGAGAGGTGGAGCTGGGCAAAAACCTCTTCCATCGTCGTGCCCATGGAGAGGGGGATACATCTCAGTAAATCGTCTGCGTATTTCTGAAATGACATGTCAACGGGGGCGTCTAACCACATGGCCTCCAACAACTTCGTGGCTGGGATCTGCTCGCGAACCTCCGTGGCCCACATGTTGACTGGATCGACGAAAGCCCCCGCGAACCCCTGGACGTTGAAGGGGTCCCCCATCACGCCTCCAACCCCCGTTTTCACTGTTAAGATGCCCGACGGGGTCTCCACCTCTACCACCGATAATCTATATCTCTGACGACACAATACACGATCGTGGGCAGGGACGACTTCACGAACGAGTTTATCGAAACATTTCCAATCTGTGCTGCCGAATGCGTTCGATAAATCCTTCATCGTGACCGCGAAAGCCCACCCTGCTTGTCGTAACCGATATCCGATGGCCATCGTGCTAAGAATAGCGTCCTCACGCCTGCGATGCCTGGCGAAACCGTGATCCTGCTCAGGGAGCCGCTGCACAATTCGCTTGGCGTACCACGCCTTACCTACTGCCGGCAGTGTGTGAATTAAACGTCGACCTCTGGGCCCTGGATCAGCTGTCTTGGGAAGACCGATACCGCGCGACCTGTGCCAGTACAAGGGGGCCATATCCACTCTCCGAATCTGACATAGTCCCAAATGAAGAAGATGATGGATGGGTTGCATGTTAGGTACTGTTTCTACAAAGCCTAACCCTTGTCCCCGAGAATCTAGCTCACGTTCAGGTGAAAGTATCATATCCCATAGTTCTAAGGGCGAGGAAGAGGGCGGGACGGCACGTCTTTTCCCTGCACGTCTCATGTATGAGCGATGCGCTTGGAAATCTTCGCCAGCTAGTTCGGCGATCGCATGCTCGTCCCCCGCGGTCGTAGGAGGTACCACCAGCCCCTCTCGCTCGGCACGCCACTCGTCCCAAGAAATTTCCCGTGCCATCATGCCCCCCTCAGGTCCAGGAAGCCCCAGATGTGTTAACCATACGTCTTTTGATAGAGGAGGGGGCCCAAGACGTCGCCCATCTCGCTGCTTGGCCCCAAACCGACATCGGGCCGCCCGTCGTGACAAGGCCATCGCGTCTGCCATGCTTCTCTGCTCCCACGCCGTCTCGATCTGCTCGACAAACATGTCCCTCTCCACCTTCCTTGCTCTCCTCCTCTCCTTCTGCAAG